TGCAGGCTGGATTCAGAAGAGGATGTGGAACAAGGGATATCATTGCTGATATCAGATGGATCTTGACTGAAAGCAAAGAATACCAGAAAGATGTTTACTTATGTTTTATTGACTATGCAAAAGCATTCAATTGTGTGGATCATAACAAATTATGGATAACATTGAGAAGAATGAGAATTCTGGAACACTTGATTGTACTCACGACATAGATCAGGAGGCTGTGGATTAAACAGGACAGGGGACACTGCATGGTTTAAAATCAAGAAGGGAGTGTGTCAGGGTTGTATCCTTTTACCAGACTTATTCAATTTGTACGCTGAGCAAATAATCTGAGAGCCTGGATTATATGAAGAAGAACATGACATCAGGGTTGGAGGAAGACTCATTAACAACCTGCGATATGCAGAGGACACAACTTTGCTTCCTGAAAGTGCAGATGACTTGAAGCACTTACTAATGAAAATTAAAGACTACAGTCTGCAATATGGATTACAGCTCAATATAAAGAAAACAGAAATCCTCATGACTGGTCCAATAAGCAGCTTCACAATGGATGAAGAAATGATTGAAGTTGTCAAGGACTTCATATTACTTGGTTCTACAATCAACACCAATGGAAGCAGCAGTCAAGATATCAGATGACGTATTGCACTGAGCAAATCTGCTGCAGAAGACCTCTTTCCAGTGATGAAGAGCAAAGATGTCTCCATGAAGACTAAGGTACACCTAACCCAAGCCATGGTATTTTCAATCACCTCTTATGCACGTGAGAGCTGGACAATGAATAAGGAAGACCAAAGAAGAGCTGATGCTTTTGAGTTGTGGTGGAGAAGAATGCTAAGAGTTCTATGGACTGCTAAAAGACTAACAAATCTGTCCTGGAGGAAGTGCAGCCTGAATGCTCCTTGGAAGTGAGAATGGCCAGACTTCATCTCACCTACTTTGGTCATGTTGTCAGAAGGAACCATTTCCTGGAGAAGGATATCGTGCTTGGTAAAGTGGAGGGTCAACAAAAAAAGAGGAAGGCCCACAACAAATTGGATTGACAGTGACTGTGATGATGGGTGCAGGTATAGCAAGGATCGTGAGGCTGACACAGGACTGGGCAGTGTTTTGTTTGGCTGTGCATAGGGTCGCTATGAGTTGGAGATGACTTGATGGCACTTAGCAACAATAACAACAATGAATATTAATTCATTCAACAAATTCTATCTTAAACGTCAAACATATAGACAAAGAGAAGGAATAGTGTAACGAACCCCCATGCTCCTGTCACCCTACTTCAACCAATTGTCATCTCCTGGCCAGTTTTGCTCATCTGTACTCCACCCACATTATAGCATGTATCAGTACATTGTTCCTTTTTATTGTTGAGTGGTTTTCCATTGAGTATCTATGCCACCAGAATATTTTAAAACTAATCCTCAACACCCTGTACTTTCAGAAAAAGAAAAAAGAAAGAGTGAGGGGAGTACTCTTTAACTCTTTCCTTTAAAAATAAACACAATACAATCACCACACCTTTAAAAATGAACCTTCATTCTTTAATATCATCAAGGGTCTAAGCAGTGCTGTAGTCTCATGATTGCCCCATAATTTTTTTTTTTTTTAAATTTTTATTGTGATTTGGGTGAATGTTTACAGAGAAAATTCATCTTCCATACAGCAGTTCATACACATTTTCTCTCATGACATTGACTGCAATTCCCCGCAATGTAACAGCTCTCTTCCCACTTCCTCCCTGTAGTTACCTCTACCCAGTGTCCTTGCCTCCCATGCACTCCCTCCACCCCCACCAGCTGTCTCCCTGTGCAAACCATGCCCTACGGTTTTCCCATGATCAGTTGCTTCAAGGGGTGTATCTACCCCATAATTGTTTTGCAATTTGTTGCTGGAATGAGGCTCTAGCAAAGAAGAGACATTGCAATTGGGGAATTAGAAGTTTAAATAAGAAGATAACATTTGGGCAAAGACTTCCTAAGTGTGAATAGGAGTCATGCACATCTTGGGAGAGAACATTTAGGCTAAGGGAGTAATCAGGGCAAAGGCCCTGGGGTGGAAGGCTATTTAGCATGTCTGAGGGATGGCAAGGAGGCTAGTGTAGTTGTCACACAAAGATTTGATGATCATAATCAGAAATGAATCTTAATGAGAGCTGGGACTTCAAGAACAACTTCTAGCAATACGAAAGATTTTGTTTGCAACTCTTCCTAGCCCCTGAAGAGGAGCCCCCATCTCCTGCAGCCCCACCTCCCACTGCCGCCCAGGACCTTCCAAAGCCGCGCCTAGGGGAGCTGACTGTGACTGATGCCACCCCCGACTCCTTGCACCTGACCTGGACAGTCCCTGAGGGCCTCTTTGATTACTTCCTGGTCCAGTACAGGAATGGAGATGGGCAGCCCAAGGCAGTGCGGGTGCCGGGGCATGAGGATAGTGTCACCATCTCGGGCCTGGAGCCAGACCACAAGTACAAGATGAACCTGTATGGCCTCCATGATGGCCAGCGAGTGGGCCCTGTCTCTGCCATCGGGGTGACTGGTGAGTGCAGGGTGAAAGCCTTGGGGGCCGGGGGTACCCATTGAGAGGGTCACTGTCTCTCTGGTGATGGTGGCCATGGTAACTTTCTGCCTTTTCCCTGAGGCTCCATGAGGCCTAACTTGTTCTGTGAGCAGAGAAGGGCAGCCATGAGCCATGGTGGTTGCTGCCATCTGTTCCTACCCGTGACCTGGGGCTCCAGGATGTTTGTGAGGTGCAGACACAGCAGGACCATGCAACTCAAGAAGGAGCTTCTCTGAACCGACCTCAGGACCCCAGTGGTGGCCATGGCTTCTCTATGTTTCTCCCCAAAGGCTTGAGGACATCTTATAGGGACCTTCCTCACCTTCTCTGTCTCTCCCTTCTCAGCTCCGGAGGAAGAGACCCCCACCCCCACAGAAGTGGAGGAGACCCCGACCCCCATGGAGCCCACCACAGAGGTCCCAGAGCTCCCGGAAGAGCCACTCCTGGGGGAGCTGACAGTGACAGGATCCACCTCGGATTCTCTGAGTCTCTCCTGGACCGTCCCCCAGGGCTATTTTGATGCTTTCACCGTGCAGTACAAGGACAGGGACGGGCGGCCCCAGGTGGTGCGTGTTAGGGGCGAGGAGCGTGAGGTCACTGTGCAAGGCCTGGAGCCCGAGCGCAAGTACAAGATGAACCTGTATGGCCTCCATGAGGGGCGGCGTGTGGGCCCCGTGTCCGCCTTGGGGCTGACAGGTGAGTGAGTAAGGGCCAGGTTAGGGAGACTTTGTGAGAATTCCTTTTCCCTGGTGGACAACAGCTTGACCATTCCATTTCTTCACCCTCAGGGTCCAGGCCTTGATTCCCCCTGTCATCCCTCCCCCTTGACCTCCCTCATGACTCATGCCTAGGGGTTTGGTCTTTGCCGCTCTGCAGCCTCATCGTCCCCTCTGGCGTGGCCTCCCTCTGATGGTCAGCCACTGGCCACCCCAAGGGTGACGTGTCAGGCATAGGCTAACTTACTAGAATTTTCCTTTCCTTCCATCTTAATCACAGTATCTCACACACACACACACACACACACACACACAAGACAAGAAAAAGGAAACAACCCAACATCCAGCCATGTTGGAATGATTAATTTAGGCATTGTCTATAAAATGAACTAACATGCCACTATGGAAATGTTTTAACAGAAGACAATTACTTAATAATGTTACATTGAAAAGAGAGAGCACATATTTTTTTTTGGTAAGGATGGTAATCACAAGCACTTGAACATAGCATGTGTGGCAAGAAGGCTGGAAGGAAACATGTCTCCTGGGAGGCACGGTCTGTGGGACAGAAGAGGATGTATTCCAGCACTTTCTGTTGTATTCTGTTGTGTGTTGTCCAGACTTTCTTAAACAGCAAGTATTTCTTTTATAATCAGGGAAAAAGAAAAAGAAAACGTCTCCTCTCTTCTACTCCTCCCCTTGCCCACACCGCCCACCATTACTGTTGTTTTTTTTTTTTTTAATTTTTATTGTGATTTGGATGAAAGTTTACAGAGCAAATTCATTTTCCGCACAGCAGTTCATACACATTTTGTTTCATTACATTGACTGCAATTCCCTACAATGTAACAACTCTGTTTCTATTTCCTCCCTACCTCTTCCCTGTGTCCTTCCCTCCCATGCACCCCCACTCCCAAACTGTCTCCTTGTGCAAACATTGCTATTCTGTTCCCCCACACCATCACTCTTGCAATTTATTTCATTTCAAATTATTGGAAAGTTAAAATTTTCTAGTCCATAAGAAACCGGGAGGGGGGAAGAGGGGCCAATCACAGGCAAATTAAATTCTGAAAGCCCAGTCAATTAGGCTTGCCTTTCCTAAGCCATTCTCTGCTAGATTCTTATACCCGTTCAGGGTATTTTGTGAGAATTTCCATGGATTCAAAGAACCCATTCCCTGTGAGAATCATTACTTCGAGGGACAAATAGCCGCTCCTGTGACACCAGTTAAAGGTCCCTGTGCCTAAGGCATTTGACTGCTAACCAGAAGACTGGCGGTTCAAACCCACCAGCCACTCCTCGGAAGGAAGGTGGGGCAATCTACTTCTGTAGTGATACTACCCAGAAACCCAAGGAGAGATCGCTATGAGTCGAAATCAACTCGACGGCAGTGAATTTGGTTTTTTATTTTTGGTATGGCACAGTCGGTGCTCGACTACCAACCTAAAGGTTGGCAGAATTACTGGTTGATAGAGACTGGTGAAACCCCCAGACTATGGCCCCTGGTCACCCTTGAGGCCTGGAATTGAACTCACTCCTGTGGCTTCCAGCCAAAGTAATAGACAGGCATATAAGGTGAACATTTACACTAGGTAGGTGCACTCCTTAAAATGATCAACTATGAGAGAGCAGAAGGGCAATATTTGCATAGAGAGAGAGCCCAGAGGGCAGGAATGCATAGGAAAGAAGGATACAGGGAAAAGGTAACCACATGGAGGAAGTGGGAAGAGAGCTGTTGCATTGTGGGGATTGCAATCAATGTCATGAAACAAAATGTGTATGAAGTGTTGGATGGAAAATGAATTTGCTCTGTAAACTTGCACCCAAATCACAATTAAAAAAAAAAAAAAAATCTACCCAGCAGCACTGCAGAAGAAAGGCCTGGCAGCCTGCTTCCAAAAGATCACAGCCATTGAAAACGCTATGGAGCAGTTCTACCCTGAAACACACGGGGTCATTATGAGTCACCATTGTTTTTTTTATTTTTTGTCTTTCAAGCTTTTATTTAAGTGCAACAATCCAAGGTGGATTTTAGATCTTGTTAAAAGCAGCCACGTCTGGACTGCACATAGTTTTCAAAAGCAGTTATCTGTTCTTCCAGCATATCTGTGCCAACTTTATCATCTTCAGCTACACACTGTCTTTGAAGTTTTTTAATTCTGTTTCCCACTGGAACTAGATTAGAAGAGCCCCAGACCAAGCTGTCTGCTTGAATGCTTCTAACGCTCTCTTCTAATTTTGCCATGTCTGTTTCATCATCCCAAGGTTTCACGTCTAGTAAAATGGAAGACTTGGCAACAAGTGCAGGGTTTTTGACCTTCTTTGACTCATACTGTGCAAGGCGTTCTTCTCTTAGCTTCTTCACTTCTTCACTTTCCTGTAAAGAAAAATGTTATGATTCACAAAGCTAGTTGTGAATCTTAACCTTAAAGCTGTTGGGGTCATCACAAGAAACAGACCAGCTTTATCAGAAAAAAAAAAAAGCATGTTTTTTATGTTTTATGACATCAAATGATTGCGGGTCATGCTTTCATCTCCTGAAGAAGTCAGGCAGAAGAAACCATTTTCTGTCTCAGCCATAGCATTCTTTGTATAATCAAAGGCTGATAGGTGTCAGGGAGCTTCATTTCTTTATGTGTGTTCAGAGAGTGTGTTGAGGAAGGGGGAAGTTAGGGGTCATTAGAAAATGAGCATTAGAAAAATTCACACCCTGGGAATAAGCTGTGAATTCTCATCCACTGTTCAATTTTTGTTTTTGTTTTGCCTTGCTATCATGATAAGAAGCTCTGGTGGCACAGTGGTTAAGGCATTTGGCAGCTAACCAAAAGGTCAGCAGTTTGAACCCACCAGTTGCTCCAAAGCAGAAAGATGAGGCAGTTTGCTTCCGTAAAGATTTACAACCTTGGAAGCCCTATGGGGCAGTTCTACTCTGCCCTATAGGCTCTATTATTAAGAGTCGACTCAATGGCAGTGGGTTTGGTTTGGTTTGATTTGTTATCATGACAAATCACAAGTATATACGAAGTAAACAAACAACAACAAAACTATTGCCCTGGAGTCAATTCCAAACTCGTGGTGACTCCATGTGTTACAGACAACTATGCACCACAGGGTTTTCTTGGCTGTAATCTTCACAGAGGTCTCTTGGTGATGTAAACGGTTTGGTCTAACCTACTAACTTAATGGTCGATGGTTTGAACCCGCCCAGCGGAGCCATGGAAGACAGGCTTGGCAATCTGTTTCCATAAAGATTACAACCGAGAAAACTGTGTGGAGCAATTCTCTGCAACACGTGGGTTCACCCTTAGTTGGAATTGACTTGATGGTAACAGGGACTTTATGGAAGTAGATGGCCAGGTCTTTTCTCAAGGTGCCACTGGGTGGGTCCACACACCAACCTTTAGCTTAGTAGCAGAGAGCAAACCATTAGAACCATGAAGGGACCTTCACACAAAGTAAAGAAAGTGAAATAACAGACCAACTTCCTGTTCTGTTCCTTCCTGTTCCATCTCTACCACACTCTACCCCCTACCCTATATGCTATTATTTTTTTCTAATCAGGAATTTTTTAAAACCCTCATTTTTCTAGTTGTGAGAAGACCAACGTTATGGAAACTCTGAACAATAGAGAGAAAAAAAAACTCTCATCATTCCCTCCTGAACCAACACCCACCATTAGTAATGCTCTGTATAACTCAAACTCCCTTTCCATGGTTTCCATGAAGTGCGTGTTTTAAAGTTGCCTGCAGTGTGGTCACGTAACTCTTGGGTCTTACTTTTGTATACACAATTTATATCTTGGGCATTTACCCTGTGACTATACAACCTGCATTAATCACCATCGTAATGGTTATTTAATACTTCATGGTAAATGCGCCACGCCCAAATTAATCATCTTCCGTGGGGCATTTGGGTTCCTGACACATTTTGCTGTCATGAATAATCCCTTAATGAACTCTTCCATGCTATAACTTTTTCCTTCTTTTTAATAATTTTTTTAGGACAGGTGCCCAGAAATGGGATTATTACATCAAAGGAAATGAGTACAATTTGTTTTCTAACATGTGTCCAAATTCCTTTCTGAAGGTTTGTAACAGTGCGGTCCTGCTGGAAGTCTCTGAATGGCAGTGGGCCTGTCTCAGACTCCTGATGCCCCTAACGGCTAATACAAAGGCTCCAGGACCCGCAAGCCTATGGTTGGAGATTTGTGGGATGTATTTGAACCAGCCTCAGGCCAATCATGGCCACAGTGTTTTTCTCTTTGTCCCCAAGGACATCTCACAGGATCCCTCTTTGCCCTTTCTGTGTCTTCCTTCTCAGCTCCAGAAGAAGAGACCCCCACCCCCACAGAACCCACCACGGATGCCCCGGAGCCCCCTGAGGAACCACTCCTGGGGGAGCTGACAGTGACAGGATCCACTGTGGACTCCCTGAGCCTCTCCTGGACCGTCCCCCAGGGCCACTTTGACAGCTTCACCGTGCAGTACAAGGACAGAGATGGGCGGCCCCAGCTGGTGCGTGTCAGAGGCGAGGAGCATGAGGTCACCGTACGGGGTCTGGAACCCGGGCACAAGTACAAGATTAACCTTTATGGCCTCCATGAGGGGCAGCGTGTAGGCCCCATGTCCACTGTGGGGTTCACAGGTGAGTGCAGGCCGATGGTGGGGCAGGGTATGGAGGACTGGCCTGGGAGAGCTTCCATTTTCTACCAGCTTGTTGGAAACAGAAATACTGTCAATCACAGGGCCTCCCTTCAAACTTCAGTGCACATCCACATCACCTGGGCACCTGAGTTCAGGTTTGGGCTGAGGCTTGGGATGCTGCATCTCAAACAAGATGCCTGGTAATGCTGATGTTCCTGGTCCACGGACCTCACTTTGAGTAGCAAGTCTCTTCACAACAAAGGAGTGTGGACTCTTTTTTAGAATTTGTTGAGAATTATTTAAACTCTTTCCCTGATTCCTCGCAAGGCCCAGCTGCTCTCTAGCTGACTAGGTGGGGTGGGAGATGGCAGGGGGTCAGGCTGCAGCGTATCCTGACAGTAACACCTGGAGCCTCATAGTTGGAGTATCAGCAGATTTTTTTATTCCACTGGGTCAATTTGTTTATTCAACAAAGACTTGCATGCCCTAATCCGGACACTGGAGGCTAAAGTTTCAGTGGCCTCTAGCAAAAACCCCCAGAAGCACATCTGTGGGTAAACAAGTTGGATTTATGCTTTACATAGTGAAGGAGAATGCACGTGCCGGAGAACTGGGGGCATCTTGGAGAGAGGGTATCAGAAAGGACTGGTTAGAATATTTGAGGTTGTGATTCTGGGGAGAACTTAAGGAGCAGGGAGTTCCTGAGTGGGACAGACAGTTAACATGCTTGAGTGCTAATAGAAAGGTTGAAAGGTGTGCACCCAGAAGTGCCTCACAAGACAGGCCTCATGATTAGAAAAATCAGTGATTTAAAAACCCTGCGGAGCACAGTTCTACTCTGACACACATGGGGTCACCACGAATCGGAATCAACATGATGACAGTTAGTTATAGTAACGGGGCTGTGTAGTGGATGCTGTCAGGAAGAAGAGGTAAATCTATGATTGTATCTCTTAATAAATCTTATCTATAGAGAGGACAGGTGAGCATGCAGAGACAGCTGTGATTGGTACAGAAGTAGCACTCACTCCGATCAGCTAGGAGAAGGACAGATTTGATCACTTTTGTGGCTGGGCAGTGTTCAACTTTTGTCTATATTCACACTGATTACAGAGTAGTTCTGATCCTCAGTGGTCGCAGCTGGCCTGGTCTGATGTTCACATTCCCTGAAATTGTCCATATTCACCAGGAGAACTCTAGGCTGAGTAACACCTAGAAGGCCCCAGGCTGAACAGATGGGACCAGGCTCTCAAATGTCAGGGCTGCTTATCGCCTTCCCTGGGGTGAAGCTTTGAAAGTATCACACAAATTCTTATCCTACTGGGTGCAGTCACTGGGGACAGACAGTGAACCCACAAATACAGCAAAGGGGAGGAGCGTAGGGCAGAGAGCCCAGGATCCAGGCCAGGACAAGGCAGGGACCCTTTAGCCTACCCCTGGGGACCCCAGGAGCTGAGTCCTGACTGGTGATACAGTTAGAGAAGGAAGAAGAGGGTGTCAGATCACTGTCACAGAAGATGCAAGGACCCGGAGGCTGGAAACAGCATGGTACTCAGAGGAGCTGAGGAAGGTCTGCGATATCTTTTGAGGTGGGGAGATAGCCTTGAGCTGTGTCTGGAGGGGAAGAGGCAACTCACGGAGTGAGCTTTTTTTTTTTTTTTTTTTTAACCTTCCAGGGTAAAAAACTCATTCTGGCTGTTAGGTGAAGAATGGGTGAGTGGGAGTGGGTGGAGAACAACCCTGGAGTAGGGAGACCAGAAGATAGACAGTAACACAGATAAGAGGAGATAGTGACCCAAATCAGGAGAGTGGGGAGGAGGTGAGAGAGGAAGGGACTCCAGGAGAGCCTCAGAAGAACTGACCACACTCTGACCCTATGACAGCTGGGCAAGGTCTGGTTGGGGAGTGGGTGTTATGAACTGCCTTCAACAAAGTGAGGACCCAGCAGAGGCACGTGTTTGGGAACAAAGACATCATCAAATAGACAACGAGATGCCAGCCAGACCCTGAGTGAAGAGCAGACCCAAGCACAATGGCCATGTGGACCTGGGCTCAGAAGAGAGGCTGGTACTGGGACAGAGGAGAGGCCATGGGAATGTTAGTGGATAGTAGTGAGAGTGTGGGTGTGTGAGGTCAGGGGATGGGATGGTGAAGGTCTGGAGAAGAAGACATTGGTTAAAACAACTATGGAAGGGATCCTTCTGGCTGCTTATCATCTTACTTTTATATTCACCCTTTCACTTGCTGAAATGAGGAATGAAGACACCTTACCTGTCCCCTCTATCTCTGTCCATCTCCAGAGGATGAAGTTAGGACGACCCCAGCCTCACCTACAGCCACCCCTGAGCCTCCCTTCAAGCCACGCCTGGGAGAGCTGATTGTGACTGATGCCACTCCCGACTCCCTGCACCTGTCCTGGACGGTCCCCGAGGGTGACTTTGACCACTTCCTGGTCCAGTACAGGAACGGGGATGGGCAGCCCAAGGCTGTGCGGGTGCCAGGCCATGAGAATGGGGTCACCATCTTGGGCCTGGAGCCGGACCACAAATACAAGATGAACCTGTACGGCTTCCATGATGGCCAGCGTGTGGGCCCCATCTCTGCCATTGGGGTGACTGGTGAGTGGACAGTGGAGATCTTGGGGCAGATCCAGTGGGAGAGTCACCCACTCCCTGGTGCTTGTGGCTGTGGTACCTTTGTGCCTTTTCCCTGTTGCTTCCTAAGGGCTGACCAGTTCCCTTGGGCAGAGTAGGGCAGCCATGAGCCATGCTAGTGGTTGCCACCTGTTCCCCACATGTGACCTGGGGCTCTGGGAACATTCATGAGATGTTGATCTTGCAGGACCACTCAGCCTGAGAAAGGGCTTCTCTGTACCAACCTCAAGACCCCTGTCATGGCCATGGCTTTTCTATCCTTTTCCCCGAGGACCTGAGAACATCTCCCAGGCCCCTCTTCACTCTCTCTATGTCTCCCTTCTCAGCTCCAGAAGAAGAGACCCCCGCTCCCACAGAGGTGGAGGAGACCCAGACCCCCACGGAGCCTACCACCGAGGCCCCAGAGGCCCCCGAGGAGCCGTTCCTGGGGGAGCTGACAGTGACAGGATCCACCTCGGACTCTTTGAGTCTCTCCTGGATTGTCCCTCAAGGCCAATTTGACGCCTTCACTGTGCAGTACAAGGGCAGGGACGGGCGGCCCCAGATTGTTCGTGTCAGGGGTGAGGAGCGTGAGGTCACCGTGCAGGGCCTGGAGCCTGGGCGCAAGTACAAGATGCACCTCTACGGCCTCCATGAGGGGCGGCGTGTGGGCCCTGTGTCCACCTTGGGGCTGACAGGTGAGTGAGGGCCAGGAGTAGGGCAGGGTGTGGAGGACAGGCCTGAGGGAGTTTCTCTTTTCTGCCTGCTTCATAGAAACAGAAATGTTCTCCACAGCAGAGCCTTCCTTCAAACTTTAATTCACATAAAAATGCTAAGGCAGATTCAATATAGCAGGTGTCCAAAATGCTACATTTCTGCCAAGATCCTTCGGGATGCTCATGCTGCTTGTCCGTGGACCTCACGTTGTGTAGGAAACCTCTTTTCAACCTGGACCTAGTATAAGAATTTGTCTAATATTATTTCACTTTTTCTGAGACTCTTCACCAAGATCTGGCTGCCCTCTAGCTGATCGGGGCTGGGATGGGAGCTGGCAGGGGTCAGCTGCAGGGCATCCTAACAGTGACATCTGGAGCCTCCTGGTTTGGTTTTCACAAATTCATAAATTCAGTGGGTGAGCCCTGAGCCAGGCTCTGTGACAGGTCACAGGGGAAGCCTCTGACATGGCAGACACGTGTCCTTGTCCTAATGGGGTACACAGCCCTGGGCACAGGTAGTGAACTTGCCAACACAGCAAAGGGGAAGGAGTGTGGGACTGGGAGCCTAGGGCCAGGCCAGGGCAAGGTAGGGACCCCTTAGCCTGCTCAAGGGGACCCCTAAGAGCTGAGATCTACTTGGTGACAGCCTTAGAGGAGAAAGAGGGTGTCAGATCAACATCCCAGCAGATGCAAAAGTCCATAGGCTGAAAACAGCGTGGTAACTGGAGGGAATGAGAAACTCTGGTAGGACAGTTTCTGAGGTGGAAAGAAGTCTTGACACATGTCTGGAGGGGGCGGGGAAAGGCTCATGGAGTGAAGGGTCCTTCCAGGGTATGGAGGGTGGTTGTACAGTTCCAAAGTGAAGGTTGACACCATCATATTTGCATTTGGGGCAATATTTTATTGTGCTTTAGGTGGAAGTTTACACAGCAAATTAGTTTTCCACGCAATAAATCATACACAGATTGTTCCATGACATTGGCTGCAATCTCCACAGTGTGCCACTGTTCCCCCATTTCTACCCTGAGCTCCCTGGTTTCCATCCATTTGGTTTCTCTGCCCCTTCCAGCCTTCTCATTTTGGTTTTGGGCAAATGTTGCCCTTTTGCTTCCTTATAGTTGATTGTTCTAAGCAGCATATTCCTCATGGTTGTTACTGTTTATAGACCAGTCTGAGGTGGCCTCCTGGAGTGGCTTCAGTCCCATGTTAGAAGAATGACTTATGGCAATAGTCTTGGAGATTCCTCCAGTCGCTATCAGACTGGTCTTTTTTGTGAATTTGAGTTTTATTCTACACTGTTCTCCCATTGTAATTAGGACCTTCTATTGTGTCCCTAGGCAGAATGGTCAGTAGTAGTAGTTGTTGTTGTTATGTGCCGTCGAGTCGGCCCTGATGCATAGCGACCCCTCCTTGGGTTTCCGAGGCAGTATCACTACAGAAGTAGGATTGTCCAACCTTCCTTCTGAGGAGTGGCTGGTGGGTTTGAACCGCCAGCCTTCTGGTTAGCAGTCAAGTACCTTAGGCACTATGCTACCAGAGCTCCTATGGTCAGTAGTAGTAGCCAGGAACCACCTCATTCTCTGGTCTCAGTCTGGAGGAAGCGGTGTTCACGTAGGCCATTAGTCCTTTGAACTAATTGCTTCCTTGTTGTTGTTATGTGCCGTCGAGTCGGCCCGACTTATAGCAACCCCTCCTTGGGTTGCCAAGGCAGTATCACTACTGAAGTAGATTGCCCAACCTTTCTGAGGAGTGGCTGGAGGGTTTGAACCACCAGCCTTCGGGTTAGCAGTCAAGTGCCTTAGGCACTACACTACCAGAGCTCCTAGGGAGACCAGTAGGAAGGTAGTAATCAGGTGAGAGGAGATGGTGGCCCAAACCAGGGATAGTGGGGTGAAGGTGAGAGGAAAGGGCTCCAGGAGGAACCTAGGAAGAACTGACCAGTCACAGCTGGGGAGATGGAGGAGTCCAGGACACTCCCAGGTTTCTGATTGGGCAGTGGGTACTCTGAGCTTCTGAACAAACAAAAAAACCCAAACTCATTGTTGAGTTGATTTGACTCATAGTGACCCCTGCTTGGGTTTCCGAGGCAGTAACACTACAGAAGGAGATTGCCCAACCTTCCTTCTGAGGAGTGGCTGGTGGATTTGAACCACCAGCCTTCTGGTTAGCAGTCAAATGCCTTAGGCACTACGCCACCAGAGACATCATCAAATGGACAATGAGATGCCAGTCAGACTCCCAGTAGTTGGAGGTCCCAGATGCAGTGATCACATAGGCCAGTGCTGGGACAGAGGAGGGGTCACAGGAATGTTAGTATACCGTGATGAGAGAATGGCTGCATGAGGGTCAGAGGATTGGAAGTTAACAATGAAGTTTCTGGAAAAGAAGAGATAGGTTAGAACAACCATGGAAGACATCTTTATCATCTTATTTTTGTATCTCACCCCTGTGCATGCTGAAATGAGGAATGAGACCTCACTTATCCCCACTGTCTCTGTCCATCTCTAGAGGACGAAGTCAGGATGACCTCAGCCCCGCCCACAGCTGCCTCTGAACCTCCCTTCAAACCACACTTGGGGGAACTGACTGTGACCGATGCCACCCCCGACACACTGCACCTGTTCTGGACGGTGCCCGAGGGCCATTTTGACCACTTCCTGGTCCAGTACAAGAACGGGGATGGGCAGCCCAAGGCTGTGGGGGTACCAGGGCATGAGAACAAGGTCACCATCTCGGGCCTGGAGCCATACCACAAGTACAAGATGAACCTTTATGGCTTCCATGGTGGGCAGCGTGTGGGTCCTATCTCTGCCATTGGGGTGACTGGTGAGTGGAGAGGGTCCTGGGGTAGGGGGGACCCAGTGGGGGGCCACCCTTTTTAAGTGATAGTCACCATGGAACCTTTGTGTGTTTTCCCTGAGGCTCCCCAGCTTCTGTCTGGTCCTCCTAGGCAGAGAAGGGGGGCCATGAGCCATGGTTGTGAACCATGCTGGTGGTTGCCACCTGTGGTTCCCTACATGTGACCTGGGATTCTAGGCACATCTATGAGGTGTTGACACAACAGGACAACCCAGCCCAAGAAGGGGCTTCTCTGAATTGACCTCAGGACCCCGTCATGGCAATGACTTCTCTATACTTCTTCCCAAGACCCAAGGACTGTCTCACAGGGCCCCTTCTCATCCTCTCTGTGTCTCCTTTCTCAGCTCCAGAGGAAGAGACCCCTGCCTCCACAGAGGTGGAAGAGACCCCAACCCCCACAGAGCCTACCACAGAAGCCCCAGAAGTTCCCGAGGAGCCACTCCTGGGGGAGCTGACAGTGACAGGATCCACCTCGGACTCCCTGAGCCTCTCCTGGACCATCCCCCAGGGCCACTTTGATGCCTTCACTGTGCAGTACAAAGGCAGGGATGGGCGGCCCCAGGTGGTGCGTGTTGGAGGCGAGGAGCGTGAGGTCACCGTGCAGGGCCTGGAGCCTGGGCGCAAGTACAAGATGCACCTGTACGGCCTCTATGAGGGGCGGCGTGTGGGCCCTGTGTCCATCATGGGCCTCACAGGTGAGTGAGGGCTGGGGACGGGGCAGGGTATGAAGGACCGGCCTGGGAGAGCTTCACTTTTCTGTCAACTTCTTGGAAACAGAAATATTCTCCACAGCAGATCTTCCCTTTGTTTATTTATTTATTTTTAATTTTTACTGTGATTTGGGTGAAAGTTTATGGAGCAATTTCATTTTCCATACAGCAATTCATACACATGTTGTTTTGTGACATTGACTGTCATTCCCCACAATGTAACAGCTCTCTTCCCACTTCCTCCCTGTAGTTACCCCTTCCCTGTGTCCTTTCCTATGTATTCCTGCCCTCTGAGCTATCTCCCTGTGCAAATACTGCCCTTCTGTTCTCCCATGATTGATTGTTCTAAGGAGTGTTATCCACTTGATGTAAATGTCCACCCTATATGCCTATCTATTGTTTGGCTGGAGGCCATAGGAGTGAGTTCAGTTCCAGACCTGAAGGGTACCTAGGGGCCATCTCTTGGGGGTCTCACCAGGTTCTAGCAGATGAGGAAACCTGTTTTTTTTTTTTTATGATTCTGAGTTTTGTTCCACATTGTTTTCCCACTCTATCCAGGATCTCCTGCACTGATCCCTTTCCAAGTGGTTGACAGTGGTAGCTGGGCAACATCTAGTTCTTCAGGTCTCATGGTCATATAGGCTGAGGTGTAGCAAGGCCTCTGTTTAAATTCAATGCACATCCAAATCGCCTGGGGTTCTTGTTAAAGGCAGACTCCGTTCAGCAGGTTTAGGCCTGAGTTCCCTGTAATACCAACCTTGGCCTTTAAACTTCCTCACAACAAAGAAATGAAGAACCTCCCTTAGAATTTGTTGAAAATTATTTAGCCTTTATTAGTGAGTCTTCCCAGTGCCTGATGCCCGGCTTCTCTCTAGCTGATTGGGATGGGATAGGACATGGCAGGCGGTCAGACTGCAGCACGTCTTGACATTAACACCCGGAATTTCCTGGTTCAGTTTTCATAGATGTATTGATTCAGTGCCTGAGCCCTGACCCAGGCACTGTGGGAGGTCACTGAGGCAGCCTCTGGCATGATGGATACCCATGTTCCTGTCTTAATGGGTACACAGTCATGGGGCCAGGAGTGAACCTGCAAATACTACAAAGGGGCAGGAGCATGGGACAGGGAGCCCAGGAGCCAGGCTAGGATAAGGCAGAGAGCCCTAAGTCTTCCCAGAGGGGCCCACAGAAGATTAGAGACTTGCTTGGTGACAGCATTAGAGAAGGAGGAAGAGAGTGTCAGATCAACATCACAGTAGGTACAAAGGCCCAGAGACTGGAAACAGCCTGGAGCATAGAGAGACTGAAAGACTTTTGTAGGATATCTTCTGAGGTGGGGAGAAGCCTTGACATGTGTCTGGAGGAGAGGGGGCGGCTCATGGAGTGAGAGATTCCATCTTGGGTAATGAGGGTGATTATACAATTTTAAGCTAAAGACTGAAATTATCATATTTGCATTTAAAAAAAAAAGAACCCTCATTCTGGCTGTGAGGTGAAGAATGCATGAGCAGGGGGTGGAAAACAAGCCTGGAGTAGGGAGACTAGTAGGTAGACAGTAACTTAGGTGAGAGGAGATGGTGGCCCAAACCAGGAGAGTGGGGAGGACATGGGGAAGGAAGGGCTTCAGGAAGAACCTCAGAACAGACCACCCTCTGACCCTGTGACAGCTGGGAGGAGTCCAGGACACTCCTGGGTTTCTGGTTGGGCAGTAGGTGTTTGCTTCTTACATGAGCAAAGGTAAGAAGAGATGGACAATGAGACGCCAAGGAGACCCCCAGTGAAGGGAGACCCCCAAGTGCAGTGGCTACCTGGATGGGGCTCAGAAGAGAGACCAGTGCTGAGACAGAAGAGAGGTTACAAGGATTTTAGCAGAAGGTGGTGAGGCTATGGTATCATGAGGGTCAGGGGATAGGACACTGACAGTGAAGATTCTGGAAACGAAGAGATGGGTTAGAACAGCTGTGGACAGCATCACATACTGAAATGAGGAATGAAGACACCTCACCTGTCCCCTCTTTCTCTATCCATCTCCAGAGGATGAAGTTAGCATGACCCCAGCCCCGCCCACAGCTGCCCCTGAACCTCCCTTCAAGCCGCGCCTGGGGGAGCTGACCGTGACCGATGCCACCCCTGACACCCTGCACCTGTCCTGGACGGTCCCCGAGGGCCACTTTGACCACTTCCTGATCCAGTACAAGAACGGGGATGGGCAGCCCAAGGCTGTGCAGGTGCCAGGGCATGAGAACGAGGTCACCATCTCAGGCCTAGAGCCGGACCACAAGTACAAGATGAACTTGTACGGCCTCCATGGCAGCCAGCATGTGGGTCCTGTCTCTGCAGTTGGGGTGACGGGTGAGTGGAGGTGGATGCCTGGGAGGGGAGAGGTTCCAGGGAGGTCCACATGCTTGTTCTTCGATGGTGAGCGAGCTGGGTTTTTCATGTGGGGCTTGTTCAGTGACCACAGACAAGTTCTTGGCTAAGGCTGTGGCCCCTTTGCCCCTTTGTCCTCTGGGGTTGACAGTTTGCTCTTCTTGGGCAGGGAGGGGCCACTGAGAGCTTTGCTGTGCTGGTGGCTGCCACCTATTCCCCACACCTGACTGAGGACTCCAGGCTTCTTTGAACCAACCTCAGGTCACAGTCATGGCCATGGCTTCTCTATCCTTGTCCCCGAGGACTTGAGGACATCTCCCAGGCCCCCTCTTCACTCTCACTCTCCCTTCTTAGCTCCAGAAGAAGAGACTCCCACTCCCACAGAGGTGGAGGAGACCCCGACCCCCACGGAGCTCACTACTGAGGCCCCAGAGTCCCCCAAGGAGCCACTCCTGGGGGAGCTGACAGTGACAGGATCCACCTCGGACTCCCTGAGCCTCTCCTGGACTGTCCCCCAGGGCCACTTTGATGCCTTCACCGTGCAGTATAAGGGCAGGGATGGGCGGCCCCAGGTGGTTCGTGTCAGGGGCGAGGAGCGTGAGGTCACCGTGCAAGGCCTGGAGCCCAGGCGCAAGTACAAGATGCACCTGTACGGCCTCTATGAGGGGCGGCGTGTGGGCCCTGTGTCCGCCTTGGGGCTGACAGGTGAGTGAGGGCCGGGGGTGAGGCAGGGTATGGCGCATGGGCCTGGGAGAGCTTCCCTTTTCTACCAGTTTGATGGAAACAGAAATATTCTCAATCACAGGGCCTCCCTTCAAACTCCAGTGCACATCCACATCACCTGGGCACTGGGTCCATCAGATTTGGGCTGAGGCTTGGGATGCTGCATTTCGAACAAGATCCCTGGTGATGTTGATGTGTCTGGTCCACGGACCTCACTTTGAGTAGCAAGTCTCTCTCTTTCTTTCTCTTTTGTCCTCACCCCCAACCTTATACATGTTCATGGGCATACTACCCATGACTTGAGTAGCAAATCTCTTCACAACAAAGAAATGTGGACCTTTTCTTAGAATTTGTTGAAAAGTGTTTAACCTGCATCATGACTCCTCACTGATATTCCGGCTGCTCCCTTGCTGACTGGAGCCAGGATGAAAGATGACAGCCGTATCAGGCTATAACACATCTTGACAGTAACACCTGGAGTCTTCCTGGTTCAGTTATTGATTATTGATCCACTGTATCAACAAAGACCTGTAGGCCCAGAATTGGGTTCTGGGTGCTGTGAGGTCACTGGGACAGCCTTTGACATGACAGGCATACTAGTTCTCATCCTAATGGGATCACCAGTATGGGGTCAGGCAGTGAACCTGCAAATTGAGCAAAGGGATAGGAGTGTGGGACAGGGATCATAGAGGTATGCCAATATAAGGTAGGACCTCTTCAGCCACTTGCCCTTGGTGACCCTGAGAGCTGAGGTCTAAAGAATGGACAAGAATTAGCCAGATGACATTGTTAGAGAAGGAAGAAGAGGGTGGCAGATTACTGAGAGAGACCTGGAGGCTGGAAACAGTATGGTGCTGGGAGGAGCTGAGCTTCTTTGTACGTTATTTTCTGAGGTATGGAGAAGCCTTGAGTGTCTGGAGGAGAGGGGGCAGCTCATTAAGTGAGGGATTTCTTCAGGGGTGAAAAGGGAGGGTGGTTGTAAATTTTAAGCTGAAGACTGACACCATGACACCATCATGTTTGCTTTTTTTTTTTTTTTTTTTAGCATTTGGAAAGACTTTTTTTAAAAGTTTTTATTGTGATTTGGCTAAAAGTTTACAAAGCAAATTCATTTTCCATACAGCAGTTTATACACATTTCATGATATTGACTGCAGTTCCCCACAATATAGCAGCTCCCTTCCCACTTCCTCCTTGTAGTTACCTCTTCGGCGTCCTTCTTTCCTATGCATTCCTGCTCCCTGAGCTATCTCTCTGTGCAAGTACTGCCCTTCCGTTCTCCCATGACTGTTCGTTCTAAGGAGTGTCTCTACCTGGTGTAAATGTTCACCCCATATGCCTGTCTGTTGTTTGGCTGGAAGCTACGGGAGTGAACTCAGTTCCAGACCTTAAGGGTAACTAGGAACCATAGTCTCAGGGGCTCCATCAGACGAGTAAACCTTGTCTTTTTTATGATTTTGAGTTTTGTTCTACATTGTTCTCCTACTCTATCCAGGATCTCATATTTGTTTTTAACATAAAAAATTAATTCTGGCTGTTTGGTGAAGAATGGAAGGGGTAGGGGACTAGCCTAGAGTGGGAAGACCAGTGGGGAGGGAGGCAGTAACCCTGGTGAAAGGAGATGAAGGCTGAGCCTGGAGAATGGGGAGGAGGTGGGAGAGGGAAAGGCTCCAGGAGGAACCTAGGAAGAACTGACTGCACTCTGACCCTGTGATGGCTGGGCAAGCCAGGAGTATAAGACACTCCCATTTCTGGTTGGGGAGTCAGTGTTCTGAGTTTCCTTTACCAAGATGGGGACCTAGTACCTGTCCCTTATGTCCCTGTCCATCTCCAGATGATGAAATTAGGACGACCCCAGCCTCGCCCACAGCTGCCCCTGAGACTACCTTCAAGCCGCGCCTGGGGGAGCTGACCGTGACCGATGCCACCCCTGACACCCTGCACCTGTCCTGGACGGTCCCCGAGGGCCACTTTGACCACTTCCTGATCCAGTACAAGAACGGGGATGGGCAGCCCAAGGCTGTGCGGGTGCCAGGGCATGAGAACGAGGTCACCATCTCGGGCCTGGAGCCGGACCACAAGTACAAGATGAACCTGTACGGCCTCCATGGCAGCCAGCGTGTGGGTCCCGTCTCTGCAGTTGGGGTGACTGGTGAGTAGAGGGTGGAGCTCTGGGCGGGGGGCACCCAGCAGTGAGGTCACCCCCTCTCTGGTGATGGTGGCTGTGGTACCTTTGTGCCTTTTTCCTGTGGCTCCCCGAGGCCTGATCAGTTCCTCTGGGCAGAGAAGGACGGCTGTGAGACATGCTGGTGGCTGCCACCTGTTCTCCACATGTGACCTGGGGCTCTGGGCATGTTTGTGAGGTGTTGACCCATCAGGACCACCAGCCCAAGAACGGGCTTCTCTGAACCAACCTCAGGACTCTAGGCATAGCCACAGCGTCTCTATCCTTGTCCCCAAGGGCCCAAGGACATCTCACAGGACCACTTCTTGCCCTTTCTGTGTCTTCCTTCTCAGCTCCAGAGGAGACCCCCGCCCCCACAGAGCCCACCACGGAGGCCCCAGAGACCCCTGAGGAGCCACTCCTGGGGGAGCTGACAGTAACTGGATCCACTGTGGACTCTCTGAGCTTCTCCTGGACCGTCCCTCAGGGCCACTTTGAGGGCTTCACTGTGCAGTACAAGGACAGGGACGGGCAGCCCCAGGTTGTGCGTGTGGGGGGCGAGGAGCGTGAGGTCACCATGCAGGGTCTGGAACCTGGGCGCAAGTATAAGATGCACCTGTATGGCCTCCATGCGGGGCGTCGCGTGGGTCCCGTGTCCACAGTGGGCATGACAGGTAAGTGAGGGTGAGACCCTGATTCTCAAATTCTTCTCTGTTGTTACCACTGCTTTTCTCTTTCGTATCTCAGCCTTCCTCACAGATGGCCACTCGTTTTCCTCCCTTCCCTAAATGGGGCTAATGATCCTGCCTGGTTTCTTAAATTGCATGAGGATTAATGGAGATTGCAGTTTGTTGGGCACGTAGTTGTGTGTTATGAATGTTACCTTTCTTCCTTTGATCACAATCTGAGACCTCAAACTTGCCCAGTTGTTGAAATGTGGCTTTCAGACTAGGTAATACAGTGCCTCAGAACATGGCTCTAGAATAATGGCCTGCTTCTGAATCCCACCTCCTGACATGCTGTGTGATTCTGTGGCAATGTCCTAGCCTCTCGAAGCCTCCCATCCCTGCAAAATGAGGATGATAACAACGGTTCCATAGCCATGTGAGGCACATACTGTGTGTACTCCTTACAATGCATGGTACATAGTATCAGACTCCTCAGCCTCCCTGCTTTATGCCAGGCCCCCTGCCCACTGAGCTCCCCATGGACCCCTGTCTGGGTGAGCTGGCCGTGGAAGCCGTGACCCTGGACAATGTGCACCTCTCATGGACAGAGCCTCTTCGATTCTTTCCTGGTCCAGTACAGAGATGTGCAGGGGCAGCTCCAGAGAGCTTCGTGGGGTTACTGTTTTAGGACTGGAAGCAGTAGGAAAGTACAAGTTCCTCCTTTTTGGACTCCAGGCCTGAAAACGGCCGGCTGGGTCCGGTCTCTGTGGTGGCAAAGACTAAATTTCGTGGTCTTTTTCGCCCCCTTGTGGCGACAGTTGGAATTTCATGTTCCTGTGCCCCACACTCTAATCTCA